TTTGTAAGGGATTTTTACTTATTTTGTTCACCCCTCTATCTCGTGGGCCAAAAACATCCTCTGGCACATACTAAGCCCTCAATACCATTTGTGGAATTGAATGGATGCCCACAACTGACTCAAATCCCGAGGAAGGTTCCCCTGCATAAGCTACCACAGACCTTACGGTGGGCTCAGATACGGTAGGGCGCTTATCTGACTGTTGGAGCTATCTATTTTAGATAATGCCTTCCAAGTAGAGTTGTTATGAGTGTTTTAAATTCCTTTTAGATTCACATATTCTCAGTTTAAGTGCCTTGGTTAAAGTCATTGTAGCTCTTTGTCCCATGACAGCCGCAAGCCTACTGGGTATGAGTTTTAGTTAATGCTATGAGAGAACACACAGCTGACAGAGCTCACGTGCTACAGAGTAGAGACAGTTGCTAAAGTGGAAGCAAAGTCCAGTTTTTCTGTATCATTTCTCTACCTTGCAAAGCTGCACAAACAGGAATGGAAGGCATTTCAGTATGGGAAACGCTGTGCAGAAAAAAGATAACAGGGCAGGCCAGAGGCTCCTGTCTTTCCTGGGGCCTGTTTATAACGTTTGGTCCTTGATGGGCACATGGAGCCTTGGCACCCGACCCACTCTCTAACTTATAAAAATGGTTCACTTTGCCTGGACTGTGCAAACAGTGTGAATTATACTGAACACCTGCCCTGTGTGAATTCGGAGTTACGATTGTTGCTGGGCAGAGGGCACCTGTATGACCAGCCACTGATAAAAACATTGGATGCTAAGCCTCTACCCAGGGTGGAAACATCGTACAGTCAGCCCTCTGTGCCTGTGGGGTTTGCACCTGTGGATTCAACCAGCTGTAGATAAAAAATATTGGGGGAAAAAAAAAAATCCCAGAAAGTTCCAAAAAGCCAAATTTGAATTTGCCGCACACCAAGCACTACATTGAATTCACACAAACGCAGTGATATGTAAACACACTCTGCTGTAGCCTATATGCAAATACTGTGCCATTTTATACAAGGGGCTGAGCATCCTTGGATTTCGGTATCCCAGGAGAGGGCAAACCAAAGGATAACTGCGCCCACGGTGTCGAATTCCCACTGCTGGAGAGAGGAGCGAACATGCATCTCCTCGCTGGAAGGACTGGGCATTGAAAGCCTACGCATGGATTTCCCCAGACCTGCCTGCATCTTTTTCCCTTGTTGATTCTGTCATTTATCCTTTACCTCAGTATAATAAACCTTAGCCACAGGTACAACTAAATGCTGACTCCCCCAAGTTCTTTTGGCGAATACCCGAATGTGTGGTCTTGGGGATCCCCAAAACATACACAATAGCCAGTGCTAGGGTTCCTCAGAGCTGGCAGAGCTGTGCCTGGTGACCAAGCCAGATTGACTCAGGCCTGGGATACGTGCTGGCGATGCACAAATGCAGCGAGGAGGCTGTGATGAGCCTCTCTGCGAGCCGAGCCTTCGTCCCAGAGTCAAAGGGCGGGTTTTGTCCCTGGCGGTCGGGCTGGACCTATAAGGAACACTCAGTGCTTGTTCTTCGGCCTCTGGGAAGTAAGAGACAATGGGCTCAGCTGTAACTCTCCCATCCCATAAAAGATCCCCACTTGTACTGTGGCTCAAATGCCCTTGCTTTTGACCCTCACGGGAGGGAATCATCTAGAAGGGAATGTGGGGAGCCAAGCCCTCCCTCCCTCCCTCCCTCCCTCCTCTGTTTCTGTACCTGGCGCTGTGCGGTGGAGCGTATGTAGGGCTGCCAGTGAGGAGGACGCTTCTGTTCTTTCCCAGACCCACATGCCCTCAAACTTTGTCCTGCCTTCAGTTAGCTTAGTGGGCGTAAACCCATCTCAAGGTCACCTTGAGCGCTGTTACCCCCTCAGGAGAGGACGTCTTTCCCAAGCCCTGCTGTCACTCTGATGTGCTGTCAGGGGTGTTGAAAGGTCAACCAGGGCATACTAAAATTTTTAAGAGTTGGAGCAAAAATTGATTCCATTGGGGCAGCATCCAGTCTAGCAGAGAGAAAGAAGCTCCAAGGAGCTTACAAAATAAAAGATTTTTATAGGCAGAAGGGAGCAGGAACAGGAAGTTACTCTTGACAGAGAAGCAGGTTGGTTATTGCAAAGTTACTTTCCTTCGGGGGATAGCAGGAGTCTAACAGGCAGATGACCCAACTCGTTAGTGCTCATTAGGAGGATTCTGGTCGACCGGCTTAAGATTCCGTTCCAGGGAGGAGTGACACTGTGATCGGTTTGGTTGATACGGGGCTCAGCGTAAAAGTGGCTCCCCTTTGGGTCCACTGTCGTGTTTTTAACAGGAGTTATTCAAGGGTATTATTAATGGCCCTCAGATCTTGCCCCAAGGAACTTCTGAAATGTATTGAGACAGGATAATAAGTACATTTTATCTCAAGGCCATTATAGAAACCACCTCTTCTTTCTTTTCTTTTGTTAGCTATGTCCAGACAAATCCGTCAGAATGAACACGCTGCGTCCCGTGGGACAGCGGGGCCCACGTCACACAGGGCCAGCCCCGCGGAGCACTGCACATCTCTAAGTGCGGCGTTGGCAATATCCTACACATTTTGATATGATAGGAATTTATTGCAGCTTTCTTTTGTTAATACTCCATCCATATTTTCCCCATCTTTTTACGTTCAACTTTTCTATATCTTTACGTATCTTGAGTAAAGTATATAACTGGATTTTAAAAAATCAAAGCTTTCTGATGGCACAAAAAGCAGGAACAGTATATTTTTGAAAACATGATAATATGGATTTGATCAAAATTTAAAACTTGTGCTCTTCTTTTTCTTTAAATTTATTTTTATTGTTTCTTTTTCCAAGACCGTTTATCCCCCTTAACGGGACCACACTGTTGTCCATGTCCACGAGTCCTTTTTCCTTTTTGTTCAATTCCTCCACCCCCAACCCTCCCCCCGCCCCCCGCAGAGAGACCAACAGAAGCGTGAAAAGACAAGTCACAGACTGGGATAAAATATTTGCAAAGCATATATCTGGCAAAGATATTATACCCAGATATATAAATATGTCTTAGAACTCAATAATAAGATAAGCTAACTAAAACAATTGGCAAAAACAGGCAAGAATTAGTCATGAAGGGAATGCAAATTAAAATCACAATGAAACACTATTACACATTCATTAGACTGGTTAAAATTTTGAAAACTAACAATCTAAGGGCTGGCGAGGATATGGAGAAACTGGAACTGTTAGACATTGCTGGTGGAAATATAATATGATAGGAGCAACTTTGGAAAACAGTATTTATAAAGCTAAACATGTACTTGCCAGATGATACAGCATTCTCCCTCCTAAGTGCCTACCCAAGAGAAATGGAAAGAGATGCCCACAGAAATACGCATAAGATTGCTCAGAGAAGCATTATTCATAGTAGCCCCAAACTGGAAATAATTCAACTGTTCTCTAACTAATGAATGGGTAAACAAAATGTAGAATATTCATACAATGAAGTGCTATTTAGCAATCAAAGGGAATACAGTGCTCTGATATGTATGTGGAAAAATCTTAAAGTTGGTATGCTAAGTGAAAGAGTCAGACGCATAAGACTACATATTGTATGATTCCATTTACTACTGAAAATGTCTGGAAAAGACAAAACTATTGCAATGGAAAGCAGGTCGTCGCTTGCCGAGGGCTGGAGAGGGGAATGGGGATGGATGGCACGCAGCCATGAAGAATGTTTTGCAGTGACAGAAGATCTCAAAACTGGATTTCAGTGGTGTTGGCACAAACCTATAAATTTACTAGAACTTACTGAACTGGACACTTGAATGAATTAATAAGGGGGTGAGATGTTAACAAAGCTATGAAACATTTAAACATGTGTTCATGGTCTGTCATTTTAAACTGGAGTGTTTAGTCCATTTACTGTCCTGTTCAAATATATCCAATAGCTATATTTGGATGTTTTTATGTAATTTTATGTCTGTTTTGCCTTTTCTATATTTCTTACCCCCCTCCATTCCTGTCTTCCTATGAGTTACTTTTTTTCCTGATTGCATATATCTCTCCATTAACCTAGAAGTGATATATTCTGCTTTTTTGGTAATGGCTACCCTAGAAATAACAACATGCATACATTCAAATCAAGGTTTAGAGTTAATAGCTTTGTCCTTTTCTTGAACAACCAGGAATTTAAAATATACTAACTATAATAACTCACTGCTAATATTGCAGTTTTTAAACTCCTAAGATATTTTATATAGTCAATATTTATGTAACCATAGATGTGTACAGTTTTTTGGTTGTCATTCTTTATTATATCTCAGACTCTTTATTCATGATTCATTCCTCAAAAAAATATTTTTGTAATGAAACGTGACGTGGTGTAGTCATTAAGAGCATGGCTTCTGGAGCCAAACTGCTTTATTATTATTTTTATACTGCTTTTTATTTCTGCTTTACAAAATAGAGAAGCTAAGGCAGATCCTAGCGCACCCAGGATCACATCTAGGAAGTCGCAGAGGCAGGATCTGCACCCCCTAAGCCCTTATTTTTAAACCCAACAGCATTCCCTGCCCTGTGCAGAGCTTCTAATAACCCATAATCTAAGAAATCTGTTGGCAGCACAACAGACCAGAGGCCCCTTGTCCACTATCTGCAAATGTACATACAGGTTCAAATTCCTCCCACATCTTGAGGTTCATGAAGTTTAGAAAAGTCCTCTGAAAAGATTAATTTTATAAGCAAGTCACAGGTGACTTGAAATTCAGCTTTATGAATGCTTATGAAATTAATTACTCTGTGCTTCTTGCATATATGTTATTTTGCTCTAGGTACTTGGAAGAGTCTTGCAAATTTACAGAACAAGCCTCCCTCTCCATAAGTATCCAGTTCTGCGTGTGCACTCTCCCTACCAGGCTGCATTTATTTCCGGGCAGACCACGAACAGATCATTGCATTTCCCCCAATATAAAGTCATTTAGATAAAGGTAAGCCTCAGGGGAGACTGTGTTATGAAACTGATAAATGCTTGACAGACTGTGGAACTGCCTCCGGTGGAGAGGGTCCTTTCAGAAGTGCAGTCAACACAGAACAGTCCTCGAGCCTTTCCAGGTTGTCCACTGTCTCTATAAGCCTTTCTACTGTGTCACAGGGCATCGTCCCGGAGGCATTGGCTCTGAACTTGGCCTGAAGGTCCTTCTGACTCAGTGGCTTCCTCCAGTGACCATAGAAGGTATCAGAGCGCTCTGTGAAGGTGGCTCCGTCCTTGAGGGTGACACTTATCTCGCAGTATAATGTATTGAAGTTTGGCAGGTTGTCCTGAGGGTGCTCCAGCTCCACCTTGCAAAGCAGCTCTCTCACCTGTGGCCTGTGGATCTGGCATTTGTGGAATGATGGGACAGTGATGCCACCGTCGAGCAGCGTGGCACAGGCCACATACTGGAAGGAGTGACGGGCTTCATGTTCTGAGCCTGGAAAGGGCCGGTTTACATACTGGACATCTGGAATTCTGAGCACAATTCTCTCAATGTGGTCAATGGGGAGCATGGCTCTGTCTGTTACAAGGTGCTTTCTCACGGAGGCAGCTGCGTCTGCCACCCAGTGGGTGGCTAAATGTGCGGGGAACCTCTTCAAAGCCACATCCTGCTGCTCCAGGAGCCAAGTGTAAGAATCTAGGTTTGGAAGGACTTTGGGGGAATAGTTGGCATAGAAGGCCCCAAATCCCATCTGCATGTCCAAGACCTGCTTGTTTCCTTGGAGACCCAGCATTGCCAGGAAAACAGCTTCTATCCCATGCCTAGCAGCATTGCCCATGTGAAGAGGTTTGGTCTGAGTGGCAGCATTTGCCATGGGTGCCCCAGCATGAGAAACAGCAATAGCCAAGGCCTCTTGGCACTCTGTCACGCTGAGCCCTAAAATCTTGGATGCAGCAGCAGCACTGCCCAAAGTTCCTACCACTGAGGGGGGATGGAATCTGAAAAGCAAAAAGCAAAGAAAAGAGCTGGAGGTTTACAATCCTCACCCACCAGGAGGCAGGGTGGTGTAGTGGTCAGGAGCTTACACAGTGGACACACACTCTGCTTGGGTTTGAATCTCAGCTCTTCCACTTGTTAGCTGAGTGATCTAGGGGAAAATTCTTCAACTTCTCTGTACCTGTTTTCTCTAATGTAACATGACGACAATAATAGTATCTATCTCAAGGTTTGTGATTTTGAATGAATTCATATGCTTACAGCAGTGCCTGAGATATAGTAAATTCTTTATAAATGATAGTTTTACAATTATTGGGGAAGGGCAAAAGTTGTCGATTGCTGAAAGTCCATGTAAGTAACCATAAAAATTAAGGGCCTTGTAGAAGCTGTGAAAGTTTACTCAGTATTCCCGTCTACGCCTCTCTCAGCAGGCTGGACCAAGTGGCAAAATAACTGCAGTATTGAACCATATGAGACAGTGAACACTTGACCATTTTTGACCCAGGGGTTGAACTGTCAGGTTTAGGATAGTCTGGATGTTCTCATTAGTCTGAAGAACCCCAACACCTATCAAAGTACATGCTGCTTTGATGGGATCAGGAATATTCAGGGTCCCCACAAGTGCCAGAATGACCCGAGCCACCCTGGGATGAGAGACCCCAATGTATTTCATGGTCCAGGTTGACTTTCTAAACCCAAGGGAGATTTTTCATTAGCACTTCTGAAGTCAAACCTTTGTATACATGGTTTGATGTGTGGCTGGTGACCTGACTTTCTGCAACATAAATGATAACATCTTCCGTTGAGCCAACCTTTACGTCAGAAAGCTCTACAGAAGTAATGATTGACAGATGAAAGGGAATATAGCTATCTCCCCGTGGGGCAAATATTTCCCATACCTTTTTGGTATGTCATTGGCTTCCTTGGAGAAATCCAGCAATCGGCCTTGTACTTCAATCCCAACATTGAAAGCAAGCAGTAGGTCAAGGCCAGACAACTTTGGACTTGGAGGTAGGGCTTCTGATAAAGCCATGAGGACAGGAAGGACAGCTCCGGAAGGGTGGGTGGCAGGATGCCACGTGTCATCAAAATCCATCGAGTGAATCTGTGTAAATAGACATAAACAACCACCAAAAACCACAATGTATTTCCTAGAATGCAATGGCTTTGGGGCCAGTAAGGGTTTAGTTTAGTAATTACTTTGTTTGATGGGAGATGTTTAGATCTTGATTCTCTGAAAATAAAAACCTATGAACTGGGTGTGATTCTTGATGACACAGCTGGGCCCTGGACCTGCTGTCCTCTGCCAAGAGCAGGCAATGCCTCAGGGAGCAGCTAGTGAGCCCCAAGGAGGCTGGGTCTCACTCAGGTGGCCGGCTCTCTGCCACAGCCCCTGAAAAGATCCCTAGTCCCCTTACAAACAAAGCTGTGGAATTAGGTGGCTGTTCCTCATCCTCCTGCCCTTCCTCTACCACCCTTCTAACAAGTCACTAAAACTTTAGTGCCATTTATTCCATATAAGGCCATATACTTCTGCACCTTTTATTATGAAATAATTTTAAACTTACGGAGAAGTTGCAAGAATTCTTGAACCAAGATTATATGCTAAGCTATATTTTTAAATCATTATTTTCTGCTATAAGGTTTTATTCTTCTTTATCCCTGCCGTTTGCTTTTTCGTTCTATGAAATAGTAATCACCAGAAATTTATTTAAAAATGGATTTTTATGTTTATTGGATGTGCTGGTGCATTTTCCACTGTTTACTGGATATTTATTGCTAGATGCACCATTGGGATTAACTTTCAATATTCTGAGCTACTGACCCCAAAACCATAAATATATCTCAGAAACCCCAACACATTCACGTCCAAATTATATCTTGTGCACTGCTCTTGACACACAGAAAAATGCTTCAACGTTGTCTGTCAGGCAAGAAATGCTGATTTTTGGTTCAGAAAATATAATAGATACCATGTAGCCATTGTTTCCTTCTTGATAAGAATTTGTTGAATGAACGAATGAAAGGCTGGTTACTGGAGGGAAAGTGGTACTGGCCACAAAAAAGGGAATTGAGAGGGAACTGAGTCTGGCTACTGGGTTTTATGTTCTCTGCTTTATAGTTCAGAGTTTGAAGCTGAGATGCCTTAGAGGGGGTTTTTTAAATCCTTTCTTATTTCCTCCACATCACAACTTATTTGGAAAGCATAAATTCACTGTTAAAACATGAACACTGGAATCATTGCATAGGAGAGAAGGCAGACCACTTCATCTCTATGACTATCAATGATGTCATTGGTAAAATATGAAAATGGAGGTGATTTATGAGATATTTCTTGACTCTGAAAATTATTATGCTTGTCTAACAATTGAAAAGACAGAGAAACCTCCTTACAGCCACGCCGTTAACAAAAGCAGCATATGTCGGTGGGAGCCTGAAGGCTGGCCGGCCCCAAACAGTGCTGGACACGTGGGAACTGTAGATCTGGAAAGAAAGAGTGTCAGTCAGTGATACAGAGCGTGAGCATAGCCATTCTCCATCTTTGAAGGCATTGCATTAACAGTCCTTATTTGAATGCCTTGTGTTAGGCTAGATCAAAGCCTTTTAACCCTTGGATTCCTGTCTTCCTTGTAGAATGATACACAGCTTCCTCCATGGAAGTGAGAAGAGACGCTGCTGCTCAGTCCCAGACCATGATTCGTAAGTGCTTCAGGGAGTGGAGTCTGAATCGACTGTCAAAGACCCTTTGTGGGTAAGTACTGGGGTAGGTGAACTAAATGTCCATACCAAGCGCATCCTTTGGCAAGTGGACGCTACATCTCCCACATACTCAGCAACTCGCTGCTCAGAGTGCTGGCCCAGCCTTTTCTCCAGAGACTCTCAAAATCTTTGCATGAACAAATCATCTGGGGTAGATGCTATTCCTTCGAAGGCGCTCAGATAAAAAGTGCTTTTAACCATAATAACAATAAACTATGAGATATTACTAGTGTTGAGACTGGTCTTAAAGACAGTGACTTAGTAAAATAATGGGTGAATATTAACACTCCAGTAATGGAGCATAGAGGAAGCATAAGACTGTATGCAACGATGCTTATACATCAAGTATTATCCCTGAAAATGCAGAGCAGGGCAGTGGAACACACACAGCCCTCTGGGCACACTCACGAGCACACCAGAGTGCACACTCGCTTTATCTCTGAAGCAGACACGAGCCCCTTACTTTACTGTATTCAGTGGCTTTGTGAAACACTTCCGTGCCGGTTCCCAGGAACCCGACGCCCAGAGTGTCCAGAATCATCCTCTTGCTCCTCTGAATGACATGGTCTGTCAGGTGCCCCACTGTCAAGCCGTGGATCACTCGGGCGAAGCTCTCTGTGACAGACTGTAAAGGGAAGAGTGTCAGAAGGGCGCTCCACTCCCTGCGTGTTCGTGTCCTTCCTTGGCCGATGCGAACCTGAGGTACTTTTATGTAAAGAGTTTACTCTACTGGAGGGAACCCAGTTGATCAAGTTCAATTTCTAAACAATGATGTGTACCGAGCACCTACTACATGTGAGGGGAAAAAAGGGAAGTGGAAATTCACAAGAGCCCGTTTCTGCCCTCCGTCAGGTTGAGGACACAGACAGGCCAGCAGAGGATCACGCCAGGGTGTGGAGGGAAGCACAGAGAGTCTGCAGGCGAGGGTGGGAGGGACATACTTGAGCGGGGTGGGGGAGCAGGTGCATTCCCAGAGCTGGCAACTGCCATTTTAAGTACGTGCCAGGTATTGTACTAACCTTTTAAAATACAATATCCACTTAATACCCTGAAGTCTCTAGGTAGGTATTTATGGTGAGTTTTAAGCAGAGCGCAGGGTTCTGTGTTTTCAGTAAGATGTCTAGATGAGACTCAAGTGCTCTGGTGTGGTCGTTCCCAGTATGGTAGCTGCTCCGCATATGCTCTTGAGCATTTGATGTGTGGCTAGTCTACACTGAGAGGTATCGCCAGAGTGAAATAAACACTGGATTTGAAGGCTGGTAGGCCAAAAGGAATGTAAAGCATCTCAATAGTGATTGTAAAATATTGATTACATACTGAAATGATAACACTGGGAATATATTGGTTAAATAAAATGTAGCATTAAAATTAATTCCACCAGTTTCTTCTTACTTTTTACAACATCGCCAGTAGGAAGTTTATCAGTAAAAGTACACTTGGGATCCACTGCCTGCTCTTTTCGTCGGTGAGTACCTGCAGGCATTGCTACCTGCTCTGGTTGTGAGCACTTTTGGGAGGCAGCCCTAACAGGGCTGGGGATGAAGATAAGGGCTAACTGCGGAGCTGGAAGTGTGGCCCAGGGCTTGGAAGTGTGCGGTGCAGGCTGCCGACTCCAGCTGCAGAGCTGCCCGTGGGAGTCCGAGCTGAGAGGGAGAAGGGATTTGCCGCTCACCGAGTGGCGTGTTGCTAAAGGCTACAACTTCAACGGGGGAGCCACAGTGCTGTGTTAGGAAAGGTAGGGGTAGGATCAGAACGGTGTTTTGGAAAGATCTCTGTAGGCAATCTGTAGAGAAGGAATTTGAGATGGGAAGACAAGGGCCGGTAAGAGACTGTCCCAGTAGCTCAGCTTCGGGAGAGGGACGCAGCAGTGCCCTTTGTTAAGGGAGGGAGAAGAGGACGAGGAGCAGGCTTTTGGGTAACTGTGATGGGCTGGTTGTGAACTTGTTGAATAAGAAGTGCATGTGGTCGTCCTGGTGGAGAAGACCATTCTGCCTCAAACCCCAAAACCAGATATAAAAACCTGTAGGATTACCTGCATTTCATAAGCAACAGAGTTGCTACCCCTTTAAATATAGGTTCTTCAATACATAGACGATTTTATTTTCTACACCTCTTAAAAGAGAATATCCATTATACACAGTTAAGAACATCCACTCCATAGTAGTGTCAACAATAAAGAAAAAAGCTTTTAATTAAAGAAAGAAAACATTTAGTTTTTTCATTTGGTGTTCTAGTTGTTTGAAGAAATAAAATAATTTATATTTGTCTAAAAACAAACAAAAATCTACTCTTAAGTTTTGTTTTACTGTATGCCCAGCACTTAGTACCGCTTAGTAAACGTGGGGTCTCTTCCCTTCCCTGTTCTGGGCATTGTGTCCTTGCACAAGCCGCTTTGTCTCTGAGAAACAGATACCTCGGTTTACAGTGTCAGCCGCAGGGGGCGGAGTCGTTGGGTTAGAGGTCGCGGGGTGTCTGGGGTGCTCTGACTCGGTGCCCAGGCAGAGGCGCGAAGATGCGACCTGTGCCCAGCTGCAAGTCCTTCAACCTGGCCCCTGACTAGTCCTGCAACCTCAGCTTCCAGATTATCAAGTCAGGAAAACCCTGCCATTTTCAAAAGAATGGGTACCTTTTATGGCTCTAAAGCTTTGTTATAAAGCTGAATGAGACGCACTGTCCCTGCCAGGAGCACACCTGCGCGCCCTTCTCTCCCCTGCTTCTTCCCTCACAGGTGCGGATCTCCTCAACCCTGAGGGTCCCCACGAGACTGGCACCCAGGGCAGCAATGGCAGCGGCAGATTACCCCCGACCCTGTCTCCGGGCCCCTTTTTCTCTAACTTCCCAGTGAGCTGGCAGCACCTCCTCTCCTGCGCCCGTCCCCCGCCCCCTTGGCTCACTTGTTTCCTATAACGTTTCCAAGGAGCCAAAGAGGGAGCCCCGCCCCGCTCTCCTGTTGCTCCTTCTATGCAAAGCCCTTCCTTATTTCGCTGTCCCCACCTTTAATAAACTTACTCTCAAAGTCACCTGGACTCTGTGAAATCTTTCCTGCACGAATTCAAGAACCCACGTGCCGCCTGCCGGCCGGCCGGAGGCAGACCCGCTCCAGGCCCCGTTCCCATCCCATCCGGTGACAGTAATAAATCAGGGCTGGAGCGCACTTCCTTCAGAGCCAGTGGGCCCACACACGCGCACAAATAAACCAAGGGGAGTGAGCTGGGAGTGGGAGAAAGCAGGATGAAGATCGCTGGGAGAAAGGCTGCTGGCACAGAAGTTTCTGATTAAAACAGAGGATAACAATGACTTTGATGTTCATGCTGCTCAGAATCTGGGTAAAATACTCAGGGGCAGAGGGAGGGAAGGCCGAAAGAGAAGTTGTTTGATGATCGCCGAGTAAAACAGATTCCAGTACTGGCTGGACCCCTTGTTCCAAGCAAAACTGCCTCTTTTCAACCTCTCATCCCACAGGAGGGGACAGTCAGTGACTGGCTGTTCACCTGTCTCTTCATGGTTAGACCTGAGCTGGGAGCGCCTGGTGTGGAGACTGTAGCTGGGGGCGCCTGTGTTGGTGGGGCCCGGAAGGAGATTGTGGCGATGAGCCCTGGGATCCTGTGGTGCCAGTGACTTATGAAAGTAGAACTTTCATAGAAGGATGGGGAAATAGGAGGATCCCCTGACAACCTCCCCTATGTGGAAAAGAACTAACGCCCTCTTCCTGGGCCTTAGGGGAGGGAGCATGAGGCAATCAACATGCAGCTGCTCCGCGGTCTGCAGGCCTGTGCCCATCTAGTCCTAAATACCATGTTGGTCTTTGTGACTTTCTCCTGGTAGTTACATCTCTTGTTAGTAAAATACTGTGATAATGTATAGATTAAGGCAAAATATGCAGTCATTTCCTAAGCATTTCTGGCAGTGTGCTAAGGTCTCTAGAAAAGCAAACCGGGATGTGAGATGGTTCTTGCTGCAGAAAGCTTGTCTTCTCTAGCGCTCTAAGGACAGCAAACAGGCGATTAGGAATGCAGTCCAGTAAGGCCAAAATCGACATACACAATGCAAGGGGGTCACAATTCAATGAGCTTATAATGATTCACTTTCCTGACTTTATACCACAAAATCATGTCTATTATTGGTAAAGTACTAATAAAATAACAAGATGCAGTTAATTAGATAGCCCAGATGTCATAAGAATCAGCAGAATGCCATTTTCAAAGTAGAGGCAGGTATCTCTTAAAAGGAGCAGGCAACTGAGGAAATTCAGAAAGGAAGAGGTGAGCTAGAAAATCCATTTAAATAAGCCACATGAAATGTAACAATACCTGGAGCTTCATGGTCTGAAGAAGATGTTTATCTCAGGAGCAAACCCAAGGAATAAATTATGTTCTGTGAGATTGCCTTTTATACCCTTTGCTACTCTCAAACATATACTCTTTGTCCTAACTTTAAAATTCCTGCTATTTCAACACTTGTCAACTGAACTTATTTTGAGGAACTAGAGGCTTCAAGAGAGATAAGTAATGACCTAGGGTCATGCCAACCATGAATAGTAACACTGACACCACTAAGCCTCCGTGTAATCAGGAATTCCTTGTACTGGCTGCGTGTGAGTCAGCGTGTAGCTCATGCTATTACTGACCCTTCCTCCTTTTAAAGCTCTTCTGTTTGGTTCAGAACTTCAGAGGTGGTTGTTGAACTTTAGTTTGCCGTGTTCCCAGGCTGCCAGCTTCCTGAATAAAGCTTTCGTTTCCATCTGACACCTGTCTCTCGTGCTGTCGGCATTTTAGAGGTGAGCTGCCAAACTTGGGTTTTTTTGGTAATGTTATATCAAAATTACAAAATATTTATTCTTTTATCTGGATATTACACTTCTAAAAACTTATCCTAAGGAAATAAGCATGGATGTATGGAAGTTTTGGTAAAAAGCCCAATCTAAAATTTATGGCCTTGCTTATACGGTTAAAAACTGGAAACAATCAGGTTGCAGTCAAGATGACAGAGGAGGTGGATGCTGCACTCACCTACTCCCATGACCACCTAAAAATTACATCTGAATTATAGAACAGTCCACCTGGACAGCCATCTGAAGACGAACAGAACAGAAGTCCTGTAACTAAGGGTATAAAGAAGAAGCCGTGGTGACACTGATAGGAAAGGTAGAGACGTGAAATAGGCCGGCCCTGGACCCAAGTGTGAGGGGAAAGAATCTGGAGGGTATCTCAGCTGCAGTGGTGCCCCGTGAGCGGCAAGGAGGCTCAGCCCCAGGTTGGCCTCCTCAGCCTGGAACGCCAGTGCTGGGACGAGGAGCCCATGGAACATTTGGCTGTGAAATGCCCAGGTGAGATGGGAGGCTGCTGGAAACCCAGGCATCCTCTTAAAGGGTCAGCGCAAAAACCCTCACTTGCAAACACTCACCCTGGACTCTAGCAGAGAGATAAGAGACGTAGGTCATGGGGTGCCAGAGACATACAGGGAGAAAATGTGACTTTGGGGAGAGGGCTGGTAGAACAGCTGCTTTTGTTCCTGTGTTGAGCCCTTGCCCAACATGACCAAACCTGAGTCTGCATTAGTCTGGGGAACTCTATTAGCTCCACCCTGAAGACTGCCTGAGACCTGGCCTCACCACAAAGGTCAATAGGACCCAAGTGAGGGGCAGCTGCCTTCCATGTAACCTGAGACTTCTGCTGAGTTGCCTCAGGCTCAGCACTGGTGTCAAATCTGATTCTGCATTAACCTGGTTAACACCACTCACCTTGCTCTATTGATTTTCTGAGACGCTGCCTTATCCAACCTTCATTCTTCCCAAAGCTCTTTCAGTTGCTGAGCCTTATGGGTAGCCAGCAGGCAGCAGCAGGTCTCTGGGTGCTTTTGGCCTTTTTTTGACCCACCACACGCCTGGTACTGGTGGCAGCCAGCCTTGGTTTGCAGCATGACCATCCCACATGCATCTATGCAGCTGCCAAATGCAGGTTGCTTTGTAGTTCTAACACGTAGCCGGGCCAGTCACAGGCAATGCCTGACATGACTTGCACCAGAGTCTCTTTCAAGAGGTCCTAAAACTAACATACCCGGTGGCTGGTTTCAGGTCACAACAGAGCACCACATCTGTAGCTCCACAAGTGGCATGCCCAAAGGGCTACCTCAGCAGTCAGCAGACCCCACAGGGGCGAGTCCTGCTCTGTGGTGGTCAGCCCCCACACAGCAGGTCCTACACTGTTTTTGTGGCCAGTCCTCACAGCCAGCCAGCCAGCTTGAGGTTCAGTGCCACACATTGATGTGCCAACAGCCATCAAAGTTCAACAGGGGGGCACACACAATCCACACAAAGGACATTCTTAGAGTGCCTGGCTCAGGTAATCATGGAGACTATGCCACTGGACCCTACTGTCTACATATGGCCACCCCGCCAAGACTGAGAGAATGAGCAGATCTACCTAATACATGGAAACAAATACAGAGAGGCAGCCAAAATGGGGAGAGAAAGAAAGATGTCCC